TTGTTAACGTATCACGTTTAAAGTACTAATTTACATCATAAGAGTTGTTAAGGAAATTCTAAAGTGTACCTTCGGGTTACATTTAGTCTTTATTTCATTAAAATCGGTTCATTCCATCAAAAGTTATGATAAATATTCTGAAGTATGGGTAGGGAATTTGCTCAACGGTGGCTTTGTTTGAGTCATCAAGTTGATGTTAGCAGCGCCATCTCTCTTTAATTAAATATATACATATAATAAAAATGATGATAACATGTTGTGTCTCTTTCTGTACATTGTATATATATATTGGTGACTAAAATCATTATGGGGAACTAAAAATAATTAAATAAGTACATTTTTATAATTTTTAGAATTGTCTGTCTGTCTGTTTGTCTGTTTTTATATGAATGCATCACGTCTAAAGTAAACATCTTTTTTTTTTTCAAAGGAATCGTTAAGAAAATCATAAAGCGTATCTTCAAGTTACATTTAATCTTTGTTTTATTAAAATTGGTTAATTCTATTCTAGTAATGATTATTATTTTAAAATGTAGGTTCGAATTTGTTCAATGGCGCCATAAAAATCTCAGAAATAGTAATAAAAAGATTTGTGTGTAAAAAAAACGTTCCATAATAATTAATATATTTATACTTAAAACATAAAAAGTGATTTAAAAAAGGATGTTTTCTCACACAAAGGACGTAATAGATGGAGTTGTACAAATTACAAACTTTTCTGATTTGCTGTGTTGAGATTTTTCGCCGATGAATCGTATTGAGACTTACTGAAGAAATTTGTATCTATCGAAGCCATACAACGGAACCCGAACAAAAATAACAAAATTGCAACGAAATGTCGTGATATTGCATTTATAATATACGTAAAATCAGTACTGCCATTTTAGCGCTTTGGGAACTAGATATAGCGCTTTTTTGGAATGTATAGCGCGCATTTCGAAATTTTAGCACCTAGCTTAATCCAGCGCTTTTTGGTGTATTTAGCACACATTTCAAAATTGTAGCGACTAGCGGGTTATTAACTCTTTTATAGCAGCACTGTTAGTCCACATTACCGATAATAATAATGACCTTTATTATTTTTTTCCACAAATAGTACATTGCAGTTTATCTTTTTCAAACATATTTTTTCCACAAAACAAAGAGCATGGGAGACGAGTCCAAACTAGGATACCCTGTGCTATGGATCTCCCAGCTTCCCCTTTAGGATGATCAACTTGATTTTCTTTATCGACGATTATAAGCGGGGAAATCCCCTTCATTAAAGTTTTCGTTCATGGTTTTGGCAACGCATTTATTTTGCTTTATTCAGTTTTAGTCAGTTGTTTAGAGCACAGCTAAGTTAAAAGTTACTTAGAGTAGTACTAACTACTGTTGACAGCAATTGCCGTAATTATAAGTCGATGTCCTGCGAAGTATTGATACATCAAAAAATATTGCCAGAAAAAAACTTAATGTTGTTTTCTTTATCATGATTATATTTTATTGAATTATAAATTATAATAAAAAACACAAACTTTGTTTGTAGTTAATTTAGCGCGAAATCTAGGGCTTTTTTAAAGCGCTGTTTTCATGAAATCTAGCGCTTTTTGTGTTGTCCTAGCGCTGAATGAGTTTTTTTTTGATCTGGCAGCACTGCCAAAAAACCCTCTATTAAGAAGTAACTTTCCTTTCAGTTTTAAGCGCGTTCAGTTCCCAGTTACAGTCAGCGTGTGTTATGCGATGACTGTAAATAAAGCGCAAGGTCAAAATTTACGCGTTGTAAGAGTGGATCTCAGTACTGACTGTTTTGCACATGGCCAACTCTATGTTGCTTTTTCCCGCGTTAGTAGCCCCCGTAACCTTTTTGTGTACATCCCGTCTAAGTCTACTTCTAACGTCGTTTACACCGAAGCTCTATCATAAACTACTTAGAACTTTGATGATAATGATTTATTTGTTACCACTTATTGATACAATAATGATATTAAATCGTTTAATATTCTCTTACCTAAACGACAAATTCTTTATGTAAAATCTATATACGCGAGCTACGCCGCGGGCACAGCTAGTATATAATATAAGCTTAACCCTTTTTACTGGAAACGAGGCGTTCCATCTTAGTCCTCAGGGGAGCAACACATCTGATTTTGGTATCCCGATCGAAGATCAATGTAGATGTCTATGGGCCCCAGCATCTGCTTACCATCAGGCGAACTAATTCGTGCTGAAACCAAAATATAGCTGAAGCGTGGTTCTACCACGTAAAAAATGTTGGTATTTAAAAAAGTCGAATTAAAATGTAACGACACATATTTCTGAAGGAAGCTTTCTTTCTTAACTAAACAGTTTTTACAAATGGTTGACAATTCGTTTGTAGTTTAGTACAATTGATATATAACCTTATGCATATGTATGCCCTTTCTCTAAGAGATCCTTTGTCCGTATTCGTGAGTGAAGTCATTGTGATATAGTTAATACGTTGCAAATTGGCTGCATGCATTCTGTTTATCTATTGATATTAGACTGAAATTAGTTTCTATGAGTAAATGAGATGAAAGCTTATTTCGTATTTAAATTTTTGCATGTTGTGACTTATAGAGGTAGAAAAATATCTTATTTTTTGTAATAATTTTATTATAAATTTATTGGTTTTGAGGAGTATATAGGACAATATAGAATAGAAATAAAGTTTCTGTGTTACAGAATATGCGTGAGGTACATGCGTATAATATATTTTGTTTTTAGGCGGTGTAATAGAATCCATTTTCCTATTTCGTAACGTAGGTGTTGAGAGAGGCGATTTTGGGAAATGTCAGAAAGATCTTTATTTTGATAGATAGCGGTATTAACATCTCGTTTACTAATCTCGTTTAACGGTGAAGTTACATTTATTACGGCGTGTCAACAGTCCACTGCTGAACACAGGCCTCCCTCAGTTTGTTTTTGAGCTGCTATCGAGAAGGTGCTGCTCCCCATTTCCTGTTTCATTTCTCTCTGTCACCTCGTACTTCACCCACGTCATGATATGGGGATCATATTCATTATAATGTCTTAGAAATGGAAAGTTAAAAATAAATACAAATGAAGAAGAGATTTTTCCAAATAATTAACTTCACCGGCCTCGGCTTGCTTGTAAGTAAACTATTAGTATTAGTGACACGGCTCCGTGCTGTAAGCTCTCGTTTGTTATCTGTTCCTTAGCTAACAGAAAAGAAATCTTCCTTGGTGTGTAGTTCAGCGATTAGGACACTGAGTAAAGTTACCTTGACCTTAATAAATTAAACTAAGTTTTAGCGCTATTTGCGACGTAACTTTTTTATCTATAAAAATCTCAGTGTATATTAAAAATTATTATTACAATATAGTGGTTTCATTAAATCCTGTAATTCAGTAAGCGAGTCTCGTCTAATGTATTGTAACTACTTGATTATGTAATTCGTTTCTCGGAAACTGCTCTAATGATTTGGTAAAATATTGTATTTTGGTAAATATTGTGCATCATGTCTGAGGAATTTGTTCTTCTAACGCCGAACAAAGCTTTAATTATTACTTAATCTTATATAATTTTTAAAAGTAATTATATCTCATTTCAGCCTATCAAAATTCTACTGTTTAAATTAGGCCTCCTCCGTAGATTACTTCATAGACGTGTTAATTACCATAGTTGGCACGCTTGGCACACCGTCTGGCAACCATGTCCTAAATTATTTGGTTGCTAACAGGAAAACGCAGCTGCCTAGCTCCTGATTTGTTTCCCTCTGTCGCTTCTTACGACACCCACTGAACGTTATGGGGTAGTGGATATCCTTCCACCGCTACTACAAGATCAAGTAATTACATAATATCATATATTAGTGTTATCAATTGTTGGGAAAACTAGTAAAGGGAAGAAAAGCTCTGTAGTCCCGATATTATAAGTTTTTATCGATGATCTGTGTACCTACCAGAACACTGGTATGTCAAAGTTTCGTATATTAGCCGAGGCTAGTGTTTTGTTACTATACAAATGTAGATTTAATATATCGACGGAAGAAAACTTGTTTCTTAATCGCTGGTGCGATACTTTATACTGATGAAACAAATGGGAGATTGCCTGTTCGTATTTTTTTTATCCTCATTACCAACAACAGTTAATGTTATTATATTTACGTATTTCGACGGACTCCTAGACAGAGAAGGAGTCCTACTGCCTAGTAAAGTACTGACACTGACTGACAGGTCGACTCTGTATGCAACTCTAAAGTTATTTAAAAATATTAACTTACTACTCGTATTAATATTGCTTTGAAAATATAATATTTTCTTATTTCGGTTCTAATTGAAAACCTTTTGTCTCCTTCGCTATACGTATATAACGTGCTAAACGTTACACAACGTACAGAAAATTATAGCATTTGGACAAATATTTGTTACACTCTCTTTGTTTTGGGTTTTTCCATGTCCTAGAATTATGTTTTATTTCTCCAGACATCCATTTTTAGTAACTTAACCCAAGTTACCAGGAAAAATTAAAATGCCCAGGCTCTGATGGAGACAGTGCTCTTTAATTTTTGTTTATTTTATATGTAGTTTATTTATGAGATATTATCAGGAAGATGCAAATGCCTAATGATATATAGATGGATTACAAAATTACGAACTTTTAAACAAAAAGTGATATGACAGTTTGTAAAATAATTTTCTTCGTGCTCATTCATCCAATTTCTTTTCTTACGTTTACTATTATTAATTGTGTGTATAGTATTAAGTGTTTACAACCATATTTTTAACAAAATATTATATTGTAAGTGGTAAATGATTGTGGGAAAAACTCAGTGTCAACGGTCAATTCAAAATTGTTTATAAAAAGTATTGCTATTGGTAACTGAACTCTAATTTCGCCGATGACAGTAATGTTCAATTAGCCTAGCGGTGTTACTAACTCGGAGTGATATCTGCGTGGTCTACGATCGAAACTCGACTAAACTATACTTTTTCCTAATTTTAAAACTTATAAATTATAAATTTTAAATTGCAATATGAATTTCTTCGATAATATAACATCTCGAAAAAAACGCACTCAATCTATGACCGATCATACTTGTAGCGAAAGTAGTTCAGATAATTCGAAACTAGATGGCACTTCTTGTAGTTTACCGAACTTATCAGGTGATGAAAATAACATACAAATACAAAAACTTAAAGAACAAATAGAACACCTCACCCTACAACTAAATTCAGCTCACGAAGAAATAAATAATTTGTCCATAGAAAATCACGAGCTCAAAAAAACCGTCCAGGGTTTAGCATCGAAACATGAAGTTTTAAAAAAAGCCACCAAAAAATTAACGAATGATGTAGATACTCCAAAAAAAAGCTTGAAAGTATCCACTCCACTTAATAAATCTACCAGAAAAAAACAGAATATCCTTAACAAAATTTCTAGTACGCCAATTACTCAAAAACCAATAGCTGACCCTACGATGACACAACAAGATAATACAGCACAAATAAACGAAACAACAAATATTAAGTTAAAACAAGCTAGAAAAAAAATTTGCATTATAAGTGCCAATAAAACCAACAAGGTATTATCTATTGCTGAGGATACGTTTTTGAATACCGAGATATGCCACTACATTTTCCCCAATTGCGGAATATTACAGCTAATAAATAATTTAAATAAAAAATTAGTAAGCTTTACGAAAAATGACTACTGCGTAATTTTAATAGGAGAGGAAGATTTTCGAAAAACTAATAATTACTTTGATATCATCAAAGAAATGAGGAATACTCTTCAAAATATTCAGCATACCAATATTATACTGTGCCTTCCAACATACAAATGTAAAGATTATTCCGATATGTTTAATTGGAGGATAGAAACTTTTAATAATTTATTGTACCTAGATCTCAACACTTTTAACTACGCAAAGCTATTAGATTCTAATTTTGAACTATCCTACGATTATAGTATGTTTTCCAAATATAGTGGGAGATTAAATAACTATGGATTAAAGAATGTCATGAGTAATATACTAATAATGATAAGTAAACCTAACTTAGATCTAGAAATATCTCCTAATATTCAAATAAAAGTCAATAAAGAAGCTATTCCCACTTGCTCAAATTCAAATTTTTTTCTATTCTAATCATATGTATATCATGCATCAGAATATTGCCGGCTTTCTTAATAAATCTGATGTACTAACGGTTCATATTCAGGAATTATTAAACATACAAATAGATATAGATGTATTGTGTATTACCGAGCATTTCATAATGTCTGGCCATGAAAAATTAATACAAATATCCAATTACAAGCTAGCTACATGCTATTCACGAAATGTAAAACGCGGAGGAGCCTGCATCTTGATAAAAAAATGTCATGAGTACACAGAATTACCAGACATAATGAAATACTCTATAACAGGGATCATTGAATGTTGTGCTATAAAATTAATAAAACAAAACACGATAATTTTATGTATTTATAGACCCCCAAAAATATGTAACATAGATAAATTTTATGAAAATTTAGACTCTATTTTAAAGAAAGTATGTAATAACCGAAAAAGTAGTATAATAATTTGTGGTGACTTTAATATAGACATTTTAAAAAGGAACAGATTAGCAATAGAATTTGAATACTTTCTTTTAAGCTACAACCTTAAATTGGAAATTAACCAACCTACAAGATTAGACAGCAATACCTGTTTAGACAATTTTGCTCATAACTTGAAACAAAAGTGCAAATGCGAAGTAATAGACTTAGCCTTATCAGACCATACAGCTCAGATTCTAAAAATATACGTTAACAAATCAAGACAAACAAAATATTGGCGAAAAACAATAAGAGATACGTCCAATGAGAATATAAACAAATTCAATAAATATCTTCAACAGTTATCGTTTTCAGACGTTTACAGTACTGACGACCCTAATAATGCCTATGATAGTTTTATCGACTTATTTCTTTTATTATATATTTTGTGTTTTCCTTTTAAATCGGTTATAGTACGTAGTGAAAAATCAATTAAATGGGTGTCACGTGGTATTCGGATTTGTAGCAAAAGGCAACGCCATTTATTGTGGCAAAAGAGATTAAAACCGACATATGAAAATAAAAACAATTTCTATACGTATTCCCGAAGATTCAAAAAAATAATTAAATTAACCCAGAAAGCCCAAAATAACCATCTCATCCAAAACTCAAAGAATAAATCTAAGAAATCTTGGCAAATAATAAATAATAGCAAAAAAAATACGGAACCTATTTCTCAGATAAAAAAAGATAATTTGTTAATAACAAACCCTAAAGAAATAGCTGAATCATTCAACAATTTTTTTATCGACCAGATCACAGATATACCAAAAACCGTATCAGATAACATCAAAAAAATTAATTATAACCCACACTCGATATTTATAACACCAACTGTACCACAAGACATAATACGGATAATACAATCTTTAAAAAACAAAAAAAGTTTTGGTTATGATGGCATTTCAACGCAAGTTATTAAATCTGTTTGCAACAGCATATCTGGGCCTCTTAGTCATATTATTAATGTAAGCATATTAGCGGGAATGTTTCCCGAAAGACTGAAAACGGTTATAGTAAAACCACTTTATAAAAAAAACAACAAAGAAGACATGTCTAACTACCGACCGATTGCTTTGCTTCCAGTTTTTTCTAAAGTAATGGAAAAAGTTATTTACGAATCCATTTACGCATTTTTGGCTAAATTTAATATACTCTGCGATGAACAAAATGGGTTCCGAAAAAACAAAAACGTAAATATGGCTGGTTACGACTTATTAAAGAGGGTAATGGCTAGTGTAGATACCAGAACTCCCATATGTGCTATTTATACAGACATGTCTAAAGCCTTCGATTATGTGAACCATGACATACTATTACAGAAACTTAACGCATACGGCATTCGAGGTAATATTCTTAACCTAATAAAATCATATCTGATAGGCCGCAAACAATGTACAGAGATTGCTAGTATATGTAATAAATATAAACGTGAATGCAAATATGTTTCTTCCTATAGAGAAATAAAATTCGGCGTACCACAGGGGAGTGTCCTTGGGCCACTGTTATTTTTACTTTACATAAACGACCTCCCAAGCCAAATCCATCATCCAATGGTATTATTTGCCGACGAAAGTACAGCTCTAATAAAATGCCTTAATAAAGATTCTTATGAAAGTGATATAAACACTACGATTAAAACTATAATTAACTGGCTGAATTATAACAATTTACTGATCAATATTAAAAAAACTAAAATAATGCACTTTTATCAGAAAATTCGCACTGAAGATCTAAATATAAATTACAATTGTCAAATAATTGAAAGAGTAGATGTCGCAAAATTTTTAGGTATTTTAATAGACAGCCAATTGACATGGAAGGCCCAAGCAGATGATGTCTGTAAGAAACTAAGTGTTTCTGCATATGCACTCTATAACCTGGCAAAAAAAGTCAGTGTCAAAACGGTGCTAGTAGCTTACCATGGCCTGGTGGTTTCCATTTTAAGATACGGTATTATATTTTGGGGCAACTGTGGCGATAGAGAAAGCATTTTCAAAGCCCAAAAGCGCTGCATAAGAGCAATCTTCAATTTAAAGATAACTGATAGTTGTGTCCCTATTTTCAATGCCCACAAATTATTAACTTTTCCGTGTCTCTATATTTTAGAAATAGCGATATTTGTTAAAATTAATCATCATTTATTTCCTACCTTAAATGAAACTAGAGTACGAGCCGTATCTATGAGAACGCAATATAAATATTTACTGTATACAGGAAGATTTCAAACAGCTTTATTAAAAAAAAGTGTTATGAGCATGGCTCCTATCATATATAACAAAATCCCAATTTTTGTAAAAAATCAACCTATTAGAATATTTGAAAAGAGTCTTACTTCTTTGTTATTGGAAAGATGCTATTACTCAGTATCGGACTTCTTAAATGATACCAATATTTAAATAACGTTGCAGTTAATTAATTGTTTATAATATGTTCTTTGTATTAATAATGTATGTGTTATGCTAACTGCAATAAAATTTCGACAATATAAATTTATGTAATAATAATAATGCAATACTTTGAATTATAATAATGTAATAATTATTTATACTCATAATTATAATTTTAAATCTATTTAATAATTAATTACTAGTATTATATAGAAATAAATTTAATTTAATATTTGCATGCCAAAATGGTAGAATGTACGGATCTTCTATGTACTCTATCAACACCTTATTGTTATTACCTACATTCAATGCAAATAAATCATTACTTTACTTTACTTACTTTACTTTACCTATTTCCTGTTTTATATCCCAGTGTCACCTGTTAAAAGCAAACACAAGTGAAGAAGAAAATTATTCCTTACTTCACTGATAATAATTTACTTCACTGATCCTGGCTTGCTTCTAAGTCGACTAGTAGGTATGAGTCACACAGCTCTGTGCTGTACGCTCTCGTTTATTATCCGTTCCTGAGCTAATGGAGGAGAGCTCTACCTAGATAATTAGTGGAGCGTTCAGGGCATCGAGTAAAATTACTTTGATACTGAAAAATAGAAATGATGTTTAGAGCTATTTGCGTTGTGACTTTATTTTTGTATAAAAACATTAAATAGACTAATAAAAGTTGAAGGGGTTGTACTAAATCCTATACTTTCAGTGAGAAATTCCTTGTATATAATTTTGTAACACTTGGTTATGTAGTTGGTTTATCGGAAACGGCTTTAAGAAATTGTATAAAATATTGGATTTAGGCAAATATTGTATAAAATATCTGAGAAAATTATTGTTTAATAAATACACGCACGTTAGACGGTCAATAGTCAACGTAATACACGTTGCGTGTGTAATAACTTGAGATATATTTCTTGGGAAATAAAATGTAGGTTGAGATGTAATGAACAGTACATCACCTGTCTGTATAGATTAAATGTTACGCACATAAATCTACTGCTAAATAGATCTTCTTAGAATCTCATATATCTGGGCATATCTCATATTTCAAGTATTATTGTAGTCACTATGGTTACGTAGCTTATCGATCAATAACAACCGTATATTTTAGTTACTTAAAATTAATTTTCTACATATATTTCTATAATTCTAAAAAGGTAATTCATGTAATCAGATAAATATTTGCTGTGTAACTTATGTAACAGAAGTTAACAAGCCTAACAATTACAACTATATGAAATAAAGATAACAGAATTCCAACTAAAAACTATCATATATAATACGTAAGAGCAGACAACCGTTTTAGTTTTACGACGCAGCAGTCGGTTAGTAATGGAACACATTGCACGAGCTTGTTTTTGTGTAAGGATTTACATACTTCATGGCTTCAGAACTGAGAATGTTAACTGAACGTAAAGCATTGGTGTGATTACAAGCATTTTTCTATATTGGAATGTTATTGAATGTACCTACAACGAATTAAGCTGACCGCAAGGCCAAGTGATGAGAGCATCTGGCTGCCTCTGGCGTGGCAGGTGTTGTGTACGAATTGCGTATTTGCGTTTTTGAATAATTATTGACTTTAGACTGAAGAATTGTTGTTGGAACGAAGTTCCTTATCGGGCGGTACGGCTTTGGCGGATGGGAGCTAGGCGACAAAACTTGTAAGATTTTTCGTTACTACCCCTTGTATCATAGTGTATTTTATTTTAAATGACGCTTCATTTTATAGACGCTTGTAATTCATTTATTTGTATTTGTTAATCAATAATGTAATACGTATATCAATAATAATATAATACGAAAGGAACTTCGTTCCAACCGAGTGTTCCACGACACGACACTCGCACATGTTTTTTTTTCATGTCGGGATGTATCGTGACTCCTCTATTTGACCCTAGCTTAAATAACAGTACATTAGAGGCGGGATGCTCCTAATGCAATATAATCTAAGTCCTCTTCCCATATCGGTGCAGTCGAGGTGGAATCGTGGTGGAAGACAAGTGTTGGTATGGGAATTCACCACTCGCCCTATCCTTCGCGGCTGGCCACTACCACTGATGCGGTGGTGGTGGGGCTGCGGGGGGAGAGGAGTGATATCTCCGCAGTTGAATCTTCGTTGGCGGTGGAGCCATAGGCCAGATCCGCCGCCGGGGTCAGGAAAGGTGATGTTTCCGAGTGCTTGCTTTTCCGCCCCATAGCCTCCGCGCATCAGACTCGGGTGGGTCTGTTACGCTTCGGTGGAGTTAGCGCAGCTGATGGTCTCGGTCAGTATTTTGATGATTTGTTTTTGTTGAAATCTCCTAGGGTTTTTTTTATATTGTGCGCTTTAAAGGTATATCAGTATAATATCCTTAATAATATACTAAAAAAACATGACGTAACAAGAAACAAACAGAGAGAAAGACAAAAGGCAGTCTTATTGCTATACAGCAATTTCTTCCAGACAACCCACAAAAAGGAAATAAAAAGAAGAAAAAATTTAATTAGTGGGTAGAGTGACTATAAATCTATACAAATAAATAAAATTGAAGTGTCTGTTGGTAATGTCGAAATAACAGCTTTTTACTATATGCATATGAAAGTATATACGGTACTGTCTGTCTTTCTGTCTGTCTGCCTGTTTGTTCCGGCTAATCTTCGAAATGGCTGGACCGATTTTGACCGGAATTTCACTGACAGATAGCCGATATTATAAGAAGTAACTTAGGCTACTTTTATTTTAGATAAAGAATTAGGTTTCTGTGCAAAAAGTTAAAACCCATGAACTCAAATCGTAATAAGTTACGCGCGGGCGAAGTCGCGGGGAACAGCTAGTATAATATAAATTAATAAATATGCTGAATGTACTTAAATGTAAGACTAGTCATCATTAAGCGACAGGAAGGGAGGAAAAGAGGGAGAAATTAGAGGAAAAAATAATGTTGTTTATTTACTTGATTTTAAGTATTTTTGGAATTTTTTTAAACATAAATGTTAAAATAGCCTTCACTCACACGGTCAAATATAGTCTGCATGACCTCCAAATCATACAACATAGCTACAGGACGAACTTCCATTTTTTAAATTTTAATGGAATATTCATAAATTGTCTCCGAATTATTAATTTTATTATTACTAATTAGAAAATTTCAAAATCATCATCATCATCATGAGCTCTCCATTTTATATTAGTCTCAGTCCAATCAAGATGTAAAAGCCAAATTACTAATAGTACTAATATCACAGAAAATAATTTAAAAAAATGCCAGCGATTCCAAATACATAAAAAGGTGTTAAAGTAATACGTTTTCAAATAATATCACACAGGTAACTTAATAACATAGTACTTATAACATTTTTAGCAAAAAATACAATATACATTAATAAAATTGTACAGGTTGCAAAAAACCTTGTTTGTTAAACGTTTTAAAAAACGCAAAAAGTGCAACATGGTTTAGGCGATCTGTTCTCCATGGAGTACGATTTGTTTCCTTTAAACGACATGAAGTGGGACTGCTGTGATATTTTTATTGCTTAGTCCACGCTGCACTAACATGTATGCGACTAGTAGGAAAATAGTGTATTTTGTTTTATCGGAAGTTAAGTTCCTTATCGCACGGTACGAATTTGGCGGATGGGGGCTAGGCGAGAAAATATGTAAGATTTTTCCGTGACGAAACCTTCTGACGTAGTGTAGACAGTCTTGGCGGCTATAAGGGAGCGAGATGGAATAATATCCATCTCCCTCGCACTTTTTCTCATCTTGCCATGAAATAAATATTATTTTATTTTAAATTGCGCTTCGTTTTAATAGATGCTAGTAATTCATTTATTTGTATTTCTTAATTAATAATACCTAGTCAGGTCATAAATTCTGTCACATGTTTAATATAAAATAATTGAAACAAGTTTATTCATTATGTAACCATTTATAAACCAAAATGAACTTAACAAAACATAGATTGTTATGACACTAAAGTTTATTCAAAATGATCTCCGTGATTTTGAACACAGGCCTTCAATTTGCGCGGCCAATCGTCTATCGCAGCACGAATGAGGTCCATGTCAATATCGGCGGCTGCCTTAATCAAGGATGTCTTGAGTGACTCCAAATTGGGATGAGGCTTTGAGCACGCCTTTTCCTCCAAGTGTTGCCATATCTTGTAAATTAACGGATTCAAATCTGGACTGGAGGAGGGCCAGTCTTCGTGCCGGATGAAGTAGATTTCACGCGCCGCCAACCAGTCTTGTGTGCTCTTTGCTCTATGAGCTGGCGCCGAATCTTGTTGGAATACCCAGTGCCTGTTATTGAATATGGTATGAGAAAAAGTTTCCACAAGGTTCGTCAGGACTGTATTTTGATACACAACTGGATTCGTTTTTACACC